TTACAGTCAAGGATATCATTCTAATTCAGGATAACATTCTAAGACGATTTTTGTTACAGTCGAGTCCTTAAAAGCCCTTTCACACCATGACGAGGTAGCCATGTATGGGCATTTCTCTAAAACGTTTTTTTATATTTTGGGCTTATACATAAGTAATATTTTCTAATAAAGAATTTTTCGATATCTAGTATATACAAATTTCACATGCTGGGTTTATGGTTGCTTAATCGTAAATGCGTGACAGGTACCTAAGGTAGGCCCGATGTATGCTATAGAGGTAGTAAGAAATGATCAATGCACTCTGACACTGCATATGACTCACTACCACAGTCCGATATAATCTTCTTCCCATCTTGGGCAAAGTGTATAAAATTAATCTCATGAATTAAAATTATTATGCAGCAATATAAGTCCCAACTTCGAACCTTGAGCGACATCCTCCTTTGAAATTTTATAAGGGAACTACACGAAATGTACAACATAAGATAAATTAAGGCGGAGCCCTGTAATAAGTGTGAGCTTTGCTTGGCCCTGTAAAGAATAAGCGGGCGGAGTAAGAACACTGCAAGATTGATAGGACTAAGCACCATGACGTCTCCATGAGACATAGAAAGCCAGCAGAAAATGTACGATCAAAATATATCTAGAGCTAGTCAAAACCATTGTTTAAAACCTCGCCACAATACATCAGTACTCCATTGTTGTTCTAGTGAGAATGAAAATGAGTGAAACTGTAACCATATAAAACTTAAATAAACGGATAATCAATGATAAAATAAAATAAGACCCCTGAAACTTTGGAGTTGAATAGTATTATTGAATTGTAAGAATACTATAAATGCCAGTATGAACAAATGAGAAACATTTGTGTAATCCCCAAAGTAAAATATAAAGAATTGATACTAAGATATTAACATAACCTTAATTTGAGCGCATTGGATGCACAGAATCATGGTACAAAGTAAATTTTATTAATAGTATTTATTACTATAACAGCTTTTTCATTAGGTCTGATATATCTTCTGTGACATTCTGACTATTTAATCAATGGTCTTGCATATTAGACTTGGCAGCAGAAGTAACAGAAACTCTGCATAACTTGCAGACAATGGCAACTGATCAACTATGGAAGATCACGTGCTATAGTCAATTACCGTACATCATGTTATAAACTGCGGCGATAAACATAGGCTTCAATTTATAACACAACACATTATAAAATTTCAAATTTTAATATTGGTATAATTTCAATAATTTTTACAGACTGCCGGTTTCAAGATATGGAAGATATGGAGGGAAGCCACACGGATACGAATAGACAAGCGACAAGTGAGGCAGAGTGTAATGAGTTATGTGATGCTGATCCAGAATGTGTCACAGCTGAATTCTCGCCAACAGACACTTGTGTTTTTAGTTTTCTTATTACACAAATTGATACTGATAATTTAGAAGAATGTCGACAAGCATGCTATAACAATAGTCGGTGTAATGCCTTCATCGCTTTTCCTGAAGGCTTACTGATGTCCCCATGTCGCTTATTCACTAAACCATTTGATTCCTTTTTCTCAGAACTCTCATTATCATCCAGTTGTATTTAAATGTCAGTATAAGTAGAATACTGAACACATGATTGTAAATTGTACATTCGCTTTTATTCCAAATGAGTGCATCGGTGAACTGACCGACTACCTTAACATCTGTACAGAGAAAGACACACATTAGATGATAAACAAAGCCTACATCAAAAAAAATTTTGTCAGCTCAATTTACATAATACAGTTTTATCTGTTTGTTTGGATTTTGCTTTGTTAATTAAAGATGCCTATCGTAGAGATCGGGCAATATTTGCGCATAAATAACGTAATGGACGGGTAAATATAAATAATCTAAAAAAGAGAAAAGATTGGATAAGAACTTTAGCCTTTAAGGTGTCTAAAAGCCAAATTAGATACATTTACTAAGTAAAAAGTAGAGAAATGACGATGTATCGAAAAAATGATATAAGATAGCATAATTTCTGTACAGGTATACCGTTGCGATATTATCTTGCCGATATTAGAGATTTAAAACAGATAATATGGTAAGATTTTAAAACAAAATGAGAAAATGACAGTTAAAAAGCCTCTTGTACATGCAAACGGAGCTCTTTCTGCCCGGTAAAGAAACTTTGTGGCGGTGGGTGGAGCAAGAAATCCTTGCTAATGATGCCAATGGCTCAGATTAATGTCCAATATATACGAACCATTGTTTATCCATCCATCTTTAGAAGCTGGTTATGACACTTTAGAGGGGCGGGGGGTACCTGCTCCCCTGGAAAATGGTTTGTACCACGATTCATTTCTAACAAAATCAAAAATATGATTTTTAAACGTTTTTGCCTCAATATATGTGTCAGAACGCACCACATCAATTCTATTTTTCTTGGGGGTGAATCCTCTCTCAGACGTTCCATAGGAGGCTTGTGCACATATGCACTCCACAGAACTATTGCATTTTGAATCTCAACCTTGCTCCCTATGTGTACCCCACTGACAGCACATGAATCACACGTTCTTGTCTTAAACAATATACATATGGAAATACACTATATATGTTGAATAAGTTTATCTTATCTAGGAGCATCTTACATGTGAAAACTCTTAGATAATTCATTTATATTAGATATATATACATTTATACAAGACATGTCCGAAGCAATATGTAGGAGATACCAGGATCAGATATCAAATTCAGGAAAGACCAGCCTGTATCGAATCATCTTAATTGCCCGACCATTCACTATACGATCTTATCCTACCCTATTGATTTGCTCAAGGATGAAACTACGAAATTTTGTCAAACTAAGAAAGCCTTCTCTATTGCAATACTGAATATAGCAATTTATCAAATAGAAGGGCGATGAAAGAGCTCTGAAATTGTCTGCAATCATAACCCAGTCGATCAAACCTTAAAGGCTTGTGTCCACAAACGCGATTTTAGTTGTGATTTCACTTTGTCCACATGAGCGTATAGGCATAGACATGAGGAAGATAACATCAGCTTTTTTCTAAGATTTATTCAGAATGCAATTACTCCACAAAACCACTGTTTGATTTGCTTTGGACTTATAAGCTCTCGTAGTAGCTAAAGTCAAATGAAGTGAACAGTTTACAGTTGGAGTTTTAGCTGTTTTTTTTTAATTTGGCGTATATTATTTCCATATGCTCTTTTTCCTAGATAACATTCATAAATCCAGAAATAACTCTTCAAAAACTGTTGTCTTTTGAAATGATAATTAAACCATAACCATGTTGATTACGAAAGTGAATTACAGTTGAAAAGCTGGTGATAAAGTGTTAACCGGGTAAGGCTTAACAAATATATGAGATATCTACTCTTCAACACCCAAGTAATTTAATGACTGAAGCACGAAAACTGACAATCTTTGTATAAAAGCCAAAAACCGTTGAGAAGATTCTTACTGCTTTCATTAACGAGACTTAAAAAAGTATTAACTGCTTAACTGAACATTATGCATGTTCCGATTTTAAGTAATACTTAATCATAGTAATAGTGAATTTCTTCACTAATATTATGGTTGTGGCCCTATTTATCGCAAGGGTACTCTGTCGTTGCAGATAAAAAATTTAAAAGATGACAAGTGTCTAGTTTTTTAGCACACAAATTATGACAGTTAAAATTTTGCTTAAGGCTATGGTCGCCATTTTCGGAGGTTGATGTAGGTTTTTAATATATATGGAAATAGTCTTCAGAATCACAAGAACTGCAAGGAAATCGCATAATCGCCCCAAATATATCGCAAACTAGAAATTTCACATTTTATACATGGCGGAGTAACATGAAAATATGAGTTGGCATTTTAACTATATCAAACAGATAATTCTGTTAACGCATGGATCTGAAAGCTTACATTTTGGCAGTGAGCTGTGAATACTATTAATGATTAGCTTAGCTAAGACATTTCCGTCTCTTAGACTAAGGTACGATTTGTCAAACGAACGACGACCATAGTATGGACCCAAAAATACACTGAAAAATTAACTGTCCTGTAAACTATCAAACAAATGAAAATTCAGCTAAGATCCCCAGCTATCATAAAAATGATGATAATACGTTTTTGTTGCACTTACTCCAATCAATTCGCAGATTACCAAAAACTATCGCGGGTAAATTTGAAGTACATTTACATTGCTTTTACATCCGTAAAATTTGTCTTTACCTTTCATAAATCGAATAGTTCAGAAAGAATGTCTGTTCCAGACCATGTTCCCAGTCTATTTGCAGCTTTCAAGAAAATTCATTCTAGATTTTGTTCACCGGGACCAACACCTCTTTGGCCATTCTTTGAAAAGTATGCAAGACTTAAAGTTTTGTATATTTGGGAAAGAGTGCCTTTATACATTTTTGTTTTATTTGATCTAATGTACTTGTACATGTAAGCACTTGATTGATACATATTGACTCTAAATGATTTTTTTTTATTAATAATCCAGAAAATGGAAAACTCATAATAATATTTGTATACGCTCTTCGAAATTAAGACGGTAACCTATGACCTTGTTGTATAACTTTGCACATTTTGCACAGCAAGCCTTCAATATAGTCTACTGAACATAAGAGAGTAGAATCGAGAAAAACGGTCTTCATGTTATAACCCTTATTTATCTTTGTGAACAAAAGTTTCACAGGGTCTACACAATTGGATTGCTATAAATCAAGGTCAATTGAAGCACTCAGAAACCTTCGAAAAGTTTATTCTGTAATAAGAAAACTACATATTTTGGCTGCACTCTAGAAATTAATGTTACAATTTACAAAGGATAACACGACGACTTCACAGCCATAGTGGCTGATGCAACGCCTGATGTTACTGTGAGATTCGTTGTTCCAACACTATACAGATAACATCCGCCAAATCTATAGACCATTGTAAGGCATTTCGGATTAATGATGCAAATATCTCGACATGAATCTAGACTGGTAACTTTTGCTTCCATAACTGGAAATTTATATAGCATGCATTTGTTTGTGCTTTCAACAAAACCACCAGCTGTGCATAATGAGTCTAGACTACATTCGGTGTCGCACATTTGTTTACTGGT